GTTTGATGACTTGCGAAGGAACTTTGTGATGAACCCACAAAATGGGTTGGCTATAAAGCCATTCAGGAAGGCACACGTGAACCGGAGCAATGATCAGGAGCTCATGAAGCTTACTCAATATTTGCTTGCCATTGCAGATCTTGATGACTTAAGCGTTCTTGATCATAAGAATTGGGAGTCCTTCAATGAGGATAATTTCAAGAGACGCCGACATGCCTAAGCGTCGGGCAATTTTCTGAAACCAACGAAAACCTGTTTGTGTTGTTAGACAATACAAAAAGAAATGTATCCATTCTGTTTCCAGTACAAGGAGAAAACTGAACATTTCTGATGTATACTTCGAATTATTAGGCAGAAGGGACTATGTCTTCCTCAAGTTATTTTATATTTGGATAATTATGGAATCTTCTTGGTATATTAAGTTAAATTATTGAGCCACAGGTGGTTTTTAACATTATTGTGCAAAGTTCAGACACTAGTTGTGTTCTGATGCACTTTATCTTTCATATCCCACCTAAGAAAGTTAAAAAAAGTATAGACATATTGTAATTTTGTAGTTTTGTGTGCTATAGAAAGAAATGAATTAGTTCAAAAATTGCTCTATGTGCATAAGTTTGACAATGATATTAAATGGATTCTGGAAATTTTGCTTGTTAAAGAATTTGACAGGGACTGGCATTTGCATTGAGCATGAGATAATTTGTATATGTGGGTTACAGTCTCAGACAACTGTCTTTCTATAATAACCCAAAGGTCTACTAAAATCTTTGCTTATGCATCGTTCCAGCTGGAATCAATGAAGCCAGAATTTCTATAAAAAGGGAAAAAATAACAAAACATATTCAGATGATCATAAAATAAATAAAGAAAAAATAATTTCTTGTGTGAAATCGATTAGCCAAAAGTGATTTGATAAGGGCCGTTTGGTTGGAGGGAGTAGAAGAAATAATTCCAGCCTAAAATAATAGTTTTGCTGATTGTACTAAGAAAAATAATCCCCAAATAGCTAGTGCAATATTTGGTTAGTCATATAAGAAAAAATAATTCGCATAACTAAAGCAACATTTGGAGGTTTTAAATGATACTCGTATTAAGTTATGTCATACTATTGTTCACTACATAACACTCTCTACGTTATTAATCATTCGTAACAATCACTATGTTATTCACCACTTTTACATTATAATTCTCATATAACTAGTGTGGACTGAACGACCTGCAAAGTGTTTTAGGGAGGTTGAAATATTGAAATTGAAACGTGGGAACCAATTCTCATTTGTAACATAGTATGAATGCGATAAATTGGTTTAGATGGTACAAAATGGAAAGTATTATTAGTAGTAAGTAATGACAATCTAAAACGGCAAAAAGGGAGAGCCAAAAGCGTGAGTGACAATTGGAGATTAATCGTAACATACCATTCAAACTTCTCCCTTGAAATACGCATTCTTAGTACTAAGTCATAGTCTATACTCTTTAACTATTTTTGGGAAATCCAAAAATGTCCTACCTTAATTCATTGTCACCTTATTTATTACCAAATCCACTGTATTGTCTCTTTTTCTTCTTTCTTGTTCCTTCTTTTTGGCTTCCATTTCATCTTCTTTCTGTTAAACATTTGCAGAACTCAAACAAAAGCTTATGTTTTATGAATGAATTAGTACTGAACTTTTGTTGTCTTTTTGTCAAAGATCAATGGGCCGTGGCCTAATTTTGGTGTTATCTCTCATCCTTTTTATTTATCCAACCTGTGAGTATTATTTCTTTGAAATCATGAGACTTATCTGTGATCTGTTAGTATTTTAAAAGAAGAGAAATTTATACATATGGAATTTGTGATGGTTGATTTCAGTTGTAATGCAGATGGTTATGATCCACTGGACCCGAATGGGAATATCACTATCAAATGGGATATCATGCTAAACAATGAAGGTAGCCAAGACGTAAGTTTTTCCTACAATGAAATACAAAGGCAAATGCAGGTTTTCATGGACCCGAATATCTGAAATTAGCAATCATACGCGGACCCAGGATTTAAAGGTTCTGGGGCACATGAGCGAATTGCTCAACCATTATCCCATCGACCTTTAATCTTAAGGATTCCAAGTAAAATATATGACTTTTCTTTTAACTTATATACACATATATGTATAGAATTTTTGCCGAGGTTAACAGGGTCCAAGTGACCCCTCTACTCTAAACATAGGTCCGCCTATGTGTCAAAATAATCTGTATTTTATCTTTCTTGTTATGCATTATATCTCATTCAAGAGGCAGTGAAGACTAATTAGCAAACATTTCTCTGTTCGTTTGAACTATTTGTCTGTGCCAGGTTAAAGTTTCAATCTTTAATTACCAACTTTTCCGCCACATAGATCAACCTGGTTGGAAGTTAAGCTGGAGTTGGCCTGGCAATGAAGTAATTTGGGATATGTCAGGTGCTGAAGCTACTGAGCAAGGGGATTGTTCTGCAATCAAAGCAACACAACCGCCCCATTGCTGTGAAAAAGAGCCGGTGATTGTTGACCTCCTGTCCGGAGCTCCTTATAATAAACAGGTCGCAAATTGCTGCAGAGGAGGAGTACTTACATCTCTGACTCAAGACCCCGGAAAATATGGTGCTTCTTTTCAGATGAACATTGGAAGTGCTTCCTATAATGGATCCGAGCCTCGTGTACCTGAAAATTTCACACTTGGAATTCCTGGATATACTTGTGGTGATCCTTTTAAAGTCCCTCCAAGTAAGTTCAATGTAGATCAAGGACGACGAAAGACTCAAGCCATTGGTAAGTAAATGTAGCTTCTAGTTATCCTATAGGATTATTTTCCTGATAGTAAAATCTTAGATCTATTCAAGACTCCAGCTTTAATCTGTTTGTAACCATTATTGCAGCAACTTGGAATGTGATTTGTTCTTATTCCCAGTTTAGAGCATCATCTTCTCCAACATGTTGTGTTTCCTTGTCTGCTTTCTACAACAACACAATTGTGCCATGCCCCAAATGCAGTTGTGGTTGTCAGGGACAACTAGGAGCAGATCACTGTGTGAAGTAATTCTCATTTTCACTTTAACCCCAGTTTTCATACATTATTTTGTGCCTGATTAACAAGTCATACTCATTTTTATATTTTGTTCATCTAATTATGTCTCTCTTTTGTTGTGGTTGGAACTATAGGTATGGTGAGCTACCACCAGTTTTGCCACTAGACCATAACGAGCCGCCAAAGCCAGTAGTACAGTGTTCACATCACATGTGCCCAATTCAGATACATTGGCATGTAAAGCAGAGTTACACACAGTATTGGAGGGTGAAAATGACTATCAGAAACTTAAACTATGTTAAGAACTACAGCCAGTGGAACTTGGTTGTCTTGCATCCAAATTTGAGAAGCGTAACGCAGGTTTTCAGTTTCAACTACAAGCCACTTAATCAGTATGGTGATACCAGTAAGTTTTACCAATGCCTAAGATCAGCATTTCCTTTAAGTTGTGATATATCAATTAATTACGCCTCAACCAATGGCGTACACAGAATTTTGTACAAGCAGTATCGTCTATTGCACTACTCGACTTGTCAACTTGGTTGTGTCTTGGACCAGAGGCGGACCTATGTATAACGTTGAGGGATCACCAGACCCCAAACTTCAACAGAATCTTGTGTACGTATTTGCATATACCTTGAAAATGGTTAACTTAAATAAATTGGCACCCTAATTATTAAAAGCCTTTAGGAGGCACTAATTGAGCAGAATATTGGTGCCTCTGTTACGTTAAAATCTTGGGTCGGCCTCTATCTTGACTATGGTAGTTTTAAAAGCTTTACATCTTGTACTTGTCTTATTTAATATGAAGCGATGTCGGATGACACCCTTACTAAAGGGCGTCTCCCATCCACTAGCCTCAACCCAAACTCATTGGAGTCGTCTATATGAATCTTCTTTATCCATGTGATAACTTTAGGTTAAACTTTTTTAACGCAGATGACACAGGAATGTTTTATGGGATTGAGTATTACAATGACATGTTGCTACAAGCAGGTGAAACTGGGAATGTACAAAGTGAGTTGTTAATGCACAAAGATGAAGGGATTTTCACATTTAGGGAAGGATGGGCTTTTCCAAGAAAGATTTCATTCAATGGTGAAGACTGTGTTTTGCCTTCACCTGATGATTATCCAAGGCTTCCAAATTCTAGTCTATTTATGTCTCCTTCAATATTTACCATCATTCTTTTCTTCCTCTCCTTCATATTAACTATATTTTATTAAGTAGTTTAACAAGTAATTAATGCTATTAATTTATAGATTGATAGTGTACTCTTAATCATGTGTCAATCTCATAGAGGTCTTATATGCCTAAGTTTTACTATGCTTTTTAGTATTATATCAACATAAACTTTTCTTCTTTATAGAGAAAATCTGTGAAAGTATTAGAGAGAAATACACAACAAATCAAATGAAAAAAAATTACTTGCTTTATTGAGATTGAAAGTAGATGATATAATAGAGAGAAAAATACACCAATTAAACCAAACAAAAGATTTTTATTCTATATAGTGAAAGAAAGTATAGAGAAAAATATATATCAACCCAAACCATAAAACTTTTAAAAAAAATAAACTACAATAAGAGAAAAATATGTGAAAGTGTACTAAAAGAATTCTTCCCACCAAACAAAAATAATTTTTATTTTCCTAGTAGAGAAAAAAAATGGGTGAAAAGTATTGAATGGGATATTTTCCTTAATGTGTGTGAAAAGAGCCAAATTTTTTTTTAATTAAAGTGGACCGAAGGGAGTAATAACAATAATAAGTAATTGTATTCAGCATTCCTATGCAAGTTAGGATTTGGAAATAGTAATTGCAACTTAATTAGGTAACTTCTATTACCAAAAGTAAAAATTTCCAAAGTAGGATCCCATATTAGTTTGGCGGTTACCCTATTTTAACAGAACATCTATATATATTCTTCTCACGACTCTTCACTTATTCGGTGCAAAAAATTAGCCATGGCAGAAGAAAACCAAAACAAGAAGAAAACAAACAATCCCAAAACATATCAAGTCAGAAAAGAATGCATTAAGCGGAAAACAATGGAGCTTTCAACTCTCTGTGATATAAAGTGTTGTACTATTATTACGAGCCCTCAAGGGGAACTTCAGACTTGGCCTGAAAATTTGGATGCTGTTAAAGAAGTTCTTAATATGTACACTCAAACTCTAAGTCCCAACAAAAAAGAAGAAGAGATTGATATTCCGACGTTAGTGGATTCAAAACTTGATGCTGTGAACAAGAGAATTCGTTACTTGGAGAACAAGAATGCTGGTTTTCTTAGTAATAATAAGGGTAAGAAACAGAGGATTGAGTGATATTTGTGGATATGGATATTGATTGATTGGAAACAGTTATTCGTTTATTATTTTTAATGTCTATTTTTCTGTATTTAGATAACTACGTAGTTTAGATCGTCAAGAGATAACAATTGGGATCTTTATATTCTTTGTGGATTTACTGAAGTTGAAAGATTTATCTTTGATTTGGGAATTGTATATCCCTGAATTTCTTATGGAGAATTTTCGTTTTTGTAGATAGGTTAGGGTTTGCTATGCCTGGGTGGCGTGTACCATACACAACAGTTCGTTCGATATTTCAGATAATTTGTTTTGCGATTTAGTAGTGAAAGAATATTAAGGTATTGGAATAAAACAGTAGTTAAAGAATCAACTGAAAGAGAAATATTACATATCTGAATAATTTAGATGAATTTGAATGCTAGAAAATTGTAAACTTATATATAGAATAATGTTATAAGTGGGACTGATATCGAAAATATTGAGATGATCACAAACAAAAGTAGTGTTACATAAAATGAAAACAGATGGAGTAATACATAGATGCTTTTATTGCCTTGAGGCGAAACAAGGAATGAACTGAAAGGAGTTCCACAATCAATGCTTAAATTACATAGTTCATGAAAATGTATCAATGAAGATAAATATGGTGGAACCAGAAGCTGGAAAATGTTACAACAGAGAAAGATTAAAGGAAAGTGATGAATTTAATCACTTGCAACATACATGCTGGAATCAACCACCTCAGGTGAATCAACTGTCATAAATGCTATCTATTATTTAGCATTGACCACCAGGTGCGCGTAAAAGCTTAACAAATGTTGATGTAAAGACACATGTTGTCACAAGAATTAGAACCAAGTCTAGACGGTAGAAGAGCAAATCCATTGAAGCTGAGCACAAGAGAGGCAAGACTTCGTCTTGATCACTCACAACAGAAATTGTGAACTTTTGTCATTCCATGGCAGAATCAGACGAGGGATAGTCAGTAAGCTCTGATTATAGTCGTAGCTAAATTTCCGGTCAAATGTGAAGTTGTCCTGAAACAGGATCACGGTTCGCCTCTTTTTGTCTCAAAGAGAGGTTTGCAAATTGCTGATCGAGATCCCTACTGGTGTTGCGGCGATGGCTGGAAGATAGTTGTTGTGGCTGCTGTTGTTGTTGTTGCTGATACAATGCTCGCAGCCTTCCTCTTTCTCTTTCCAGAACTTCATGCTCCACTGCATGGGAAATTTATGAGTGGTAGTTTTCGATGAAACTAATGAAATAAAGTACCGGCTGTATAAACGTTCAACTGCTTCCAAAGACCACTGTCCCATAAAACAGATCAGTTCCCATTGTCCAAAATAGTTAATTCAACAATGGTAGTTTCCTTGATTCAAAATCTTTGGATCTAAGGAAAAATAACTGCACTTACGGGATGTGAGAATGCACGGGAGAAAAATCTATGTTTTAACAATGATACAATGAGCCCTATATATAATACATGTTATACTCCTACTACATATGGGACTAGGACATATTCTACTCCTACTACATATGGGACTAGAACTATTTACACATAACTATCTAACAGGGGAAATTAAAGATCAATTATTTAGCATCAAATTTTTTATATGAGAAAGATCAATTACTTAGCATCTTATCGTTGCAAACTCGAACGTTCCTTCTCTTTCTTTTATTTGGACAAGTAAAGTAACTTTCAATGTTATCAAAAAAGTACAGAAGAGATATATGATAATAAAGGAGCTAAACAACGATATCGTACTCCACAAAATCATCCAATCATCTATGTTTATCTGTATGCTATGATTGCTCCAAAGGTAAATAGGAATAACATTCATCCTTTGTATTTCTTTACAAAGGTAAATTTAGCTATTTGAAGGGGTGAAAAAGAAAACAGGGACCGGTTCACATTAAGGTCATCCAGATGCAGTAGAAAAGACTAGAACTGGTTTTTTTCTCAAGAAACTTTGACCTGGTCAGATTTCCATCTTATAGCAGATAATAACTGATCGAGTCCCAGCAAGCATAGTTATGCTTTTCAAAGTGACATATTTACTAATTATAGTAGTACCAGATTTCAAGAAAGACTATTCTAGTTTCCCACACATAGGGAAAAGAAAATCAATTAAACAAAATTATTAATTCAAATAGTCATGGATTTTCAGCAAGGTCATTGTCTTCCCAATGATGTATTGTGGGATGACCACTAATTGTCATTCCTGGAGATAGCTATTTTGCTAATCAAATTGAACATTGTTTGGAAACCTTTTAGTTCCAGGAAAATTGCGCCCACTTTCCCAACTTGCGTGGACCAATATCTCGCAGTTATACTTTTATTCACAGTGGAAAACATCAATCATATGATACTTAATTCAGATAAACCTAACTCCCAGCTATGCAGGGTTTGGACTCAATATACCTGCTCTACAATCAAGTTTATCAAAATAGTTAAGATTACAACACAGGAAACAAGTAGAATAGTTCAGTATAACAGATAAAGAAACTTACAATACTTTATAAGCTGTTCCTGAGCTAAATTTTCTNGTGTTAAGATAGTGAAAAGCGAAGTCTGAGTAAGCACACGTTTGTGGTAATAAGTCGCAACTTTGGAGTGAGTTAGAGGTGTAATGCAAAAATATGGAATAAAAATCTTGAAGATGAGAAAGTAACTGGAAATGATTGAAGTAAATTTGTGACCAAAGAGAAACAGCTCAAGTAAGTTGAGGTGGCATGAATACGAACTATTTACCATGTCATCCAAATGGCATACTCTGTATGGATATGTTTTTTTTAGCATATCCCCTTTCCCTTTCCCATTTTTTTTTTTTTTGGGGGTGGGGGGGGGGTGGGGGGTGGGGGGCTGCAGAGTGCCTTAAACTTACTGCTTCGCACGTTTCGTGTCAGTTTCTGATGAAGAACTCTTGCTTTGAGAAGAATCTTTTTTCTCAGCAGACCCTTTGCCAGATTCGGCTAAATCCTGCTTGTCACTTCCAGCAGATTTAGGCCTGTCTCCGTCTTGTGGGAGGCAAGGTGATACGGAGCTCTGAATACGGAGATCTTCCCTGGGAAAGGAAAGGTTACGGAGATGCAATACTGTATTTGAAGATGCATCCTTTGTCCTATTCTTCCGCCGGACTGAGGAGTTTTGATCGACATAAGAAACAGCATGCCGAGCATCTTTGTAATAGTCAAAGTCTTGTGACCCCCAGGAAGGGATACGAGTCATATTTCCGAACTTGTTATCAACTTGAGCTATGTAATCTAAGCGTGCAATGTTAGCAGCATCGAAATATGCAAAGGAGTCACTAGATGAACGTCGATGGCTGCCTCTGCGTACAGGAGTTTCTGGCTCATTAAGAAGATCGTCCAACCAAGAGGGTTGCTCCTCTATAAGACAGCTTTCAGAGGAAGTACGCTGATGGTGTGAATTTCCATCTCTGGGTTTCAGGATGCCCTTTTGGTTGACAGCAGAACTGGGAACATAATCGAGATAAGACGGGGCCATGCTAGGAAATGGACTTTTAGGAGGCAGTAAAGAGCACTTTCCATTGTACATCATACTTCTCATACTAGATGGCCCCTTAGTGTTCGCCATAGCAAAGCGCACAAGATCCCTATAAGAAAAAGAACGTAAATATGAAAGTGGGATAAGTAAACCTTCAAAAGTATAACAGCTCTTGATAAAGGCAAATCCAGTAAAGACAATCCCATTATTTAGGAAGCGGAGTATCACACGACCAAATCCCAAATTTCTTTTCCAATAATTACGAGTCAGATTCCAAACCTAAAACTATAGGAGATGAAGCAACAATAAGCACTGCAAACATACTGTACCATTAACTATATGAAAAAATAGCAGTCTTGTCAATGGGATATAATCAAATTCAAAGAAACCATGTTCTTTCTGGAAAATCTAGCCTTCCTAAAACACCAGGTATTTTCCCTCTGAGAAAGAGAACATATATATATGAAAGTAGGATAAGTAAACCTTCAAAAGTTAACAGCTCTTGATAAAGGCAAATCCAGTAAAAATAAAAAATAACACTTTGTGAACAGCACGGGTCCCTGTAAAGGCAATCCATTATTTAGGAAGCGAAGTATCACGACCAAATCCCGAATTTCTTTTCCAATAAATACGAGTCAGATTCCTAACCTAAAACTACAGGAGATGAGGCAACAGTAGGCACTGCAAACATTCTGCTCCAGTAACTATATGAACAAATAGCAGTCCCTAAAATTACAGGAGATGAGGCAACAGTAGGCACTGCAAACATTCTGCTCCAGTAACTATATGAACAAATAGCAGTCCCTAAAATTACAGGAGATGAGGCAACAGTAGGCACTGCAAACATTCTGCTCCAGTAACTATATGAACAAATAGCAGTCCCTAAAATTACAGGAGATGAGGCAACAGTAGGCACTGCAAACATTCTGCTCCAGTAACTATATGAACAAATAGCAGTCCCGTCAATGGAATATAATCATATTCTAAGAAACCATGATCTTTCTGGAAAATCTAGCCTTCCTAAAAACCAGGTATTTTCGGGTATTCAGGGAATTCCCAGTTATTCTAGCAGGTATCACCCCTGTTCACTCCAGATTGCATCAATATGGATGATCCATTGGGGATCTCAAATCATTCATTATGAGCTTTAAGCCTTGCAAGCATTCTGCTCCAGTAACTATATGAACAAATAACAGTCCCGTCAATGGGATATAATCAAATTCTAAGAAACCATGATCTTTCTGGAAAAGCTAGCCTTCCTAAAAACCAGGTATTTTCGGGTATTCAGGGAATTCCATGTTATTCTAGCAGGTATCTATCACCCCTGTTCACTCCAGATTGCATCAATATGGATGATCCATTGGGGATCTCAAATCATTCATTTATGAGCTTCAAGCCTTGCAAGCTTTTGAGATCTTGTATTGATTTCTGTTCATTTTCAAGGTAGAGTTTCTGGCCCTTATAGTATGGGAACCATGAAGCACAAATACCTTATTCTGAGCAACCAAGAAAGAATAAAAAGGGGAACAAGGAAGAAAAGGTGAAGAAGGAGCACATTTATCACCAAGAGTTGGGTGAGGAGGAAGAAATGCCTCCCATTTGGAACTGCAAAAGCATTCAAAAATATAGAGACAGGCTTCAGCCTCCGGGGAGGAGGCTCATTCTTGCATTTCCTCCTCCTTTTTCCTTTCTGTTTTTGATAAGGAACGAGGAGGTGATTTGTGGGACATGGATTGTGTCAGAATCCAGTAACTGTTCAAAACCATTATGTTTTCTACAGCTCTGTACTAAAAGTAATTTAATGGTTCCAAATTTAGACTATCCTATCTACAAAGTGATTTATGCTTGGAAATGAGACAAGACCTTGAACCGCCCCCACGGACAAGCCCAATACTACCACCACAAATGAATGGGCGAAAGCACCCACAGAAAAATTATTAAGGGAAAGAAGAATTAATCACAAGTTCATAGCCTTATTCAAAAGGAAAAGAATTTTTTCCTAATGGTGTAACATGCAGGTAGACTTTTCCTCAGTTGTACTGTTATGTGGAAGAAAGAAGCACTACTTTAGCTTATCTAGATCCTTCTACCAGCTGGTATCACTTGGGACATGAAAAGCAGAAGAAACTAAATACTGTAGCTTTTAATTGGACTTTATTTTCATCATATTAGTATTGGCAATGGTTAAAACATTCTCTTTGGACGTCACGACTCAAACATGAATTTTCACATGAACATTAGGTTAGATGTATGCTTCTCAGGCTGGAAGCAGTTAGTAAAGCAAATTTATCTCACAGTATCTAGGAAGGGAGCTAAGAAGGTTGGAAATTGCCATTATCTCTGTTGGAAGGAGAAAGACTGTAAATCACATATTTGGCTTGGAATTCTTGTGTATGTTCTGCTCCTTGTAAGATCACTGGATAATATACCAATCGGGTCAAGACTATGTAAGAGGTTGTTTGATTCTAAACTTGACAACAACAACAACAAACCCAGTGTGTTCCCATAAGTGAGGTCTTGTTTTGGGGGTAGTGTGTACGCAGACCTACCTTTAAAAAGGCAGAGAGGCTGTTTAACAAGTTGAAAGCACGAAATGGGAATTGATTCTAAACTTGAAATGTTACAAAAGTATCTGGAGAGCCGATGCTCACTATTCGAAATAGTCCATCAGGAAAGGAAGCAACAATCGATGCTACTCATGAAACGCCCTAGGTGGGGCACAAAGATAAGCTCATTTTCCCTGGAGAGCTACTATTTCAGCTGCTAGAAAGGACAACCAAGCAACAGAATATGTTACCGTCTTATAAACTCATGTCACTCATTTGTTTGATGACTAAGTAATCAATGGAAGCTTTGCGAGGAGACACACCTCCTTTGTACACTTCAATGAGAAGAATTCTTTCTGTGGCAATGAAGGTTCATTTAACACCCAATTTTGACCACAAAAAAAAAACTCCAAGCATCCAAGTTCAAGAAATTAATCAAAGCCTGCCGCACCTGAAGCGGTCTGCAAAGCATGATTGAAAACCATAGCACAGCAGCACAATGAATTGATTTTATCAACATTATCTATTTGCCATGGGAAATGGGAAAGAGCTCCATCTTTATGTAAATTTAAACAATCAAAAGGTCAAAGTGTAGCCACAATCTCTCTGCAGGCTCTTCAAGATAAATCTCTATCTACAAATAGACTATAACATGAGCACCCATCCTTTTATCCCTATACGGTCATCAACCTTCTACCAAATTAACAATCATAACTTGCTTCGATATATATGGTTGGGTACAATCTAACAATCATAGTTTTGTGTGAAATAATCTTCTTTTTTATGTATACTACTTGGACACGAAATTTTCCCCCCCATTTAGTTAAATATTACCATTTACAAAAACAGTTGAGCAATCAGAAAAATTGAAGAAAACAAACTGTTTCTCCCCCAAATCTCAAACTTCAAAGCTTAAACTTGCTAGGTTTATTCTAATTCTCCTCCCTTAAACAAAGAAGTGCCAATTAATCACACGAAAAAAGGAAGGCGAAAAAAAAAAGATCAACCTTTTCTCCAAAATTTCCTTCCTCTTCTTTTGCTCGAATTCTCATAGCAACCAAACAAACGACTTCAAATCGATCAAATAACAAAAAGAAAAGCAACTACTTAACGAAAATATGGACATATTTATATTTTTTCTACTGAAAAATGCTGACCTTTAATTGATAATCAAGATAGTTGCAATGTGATTTCAGGGAAAATGGAGAATTAATCAATTCAGAAGCTCAGATTTCTTCTCTCTTAAGGCTAAGGTATCTTCTCTTTATCGAATCTTTTTCTTCTTTCTTTCTTCTTCTTATTGACAATCTACTTCTTTCTCGTTGACGTATCTCGTTGAAAACGTACACTGCCCAAAATGACCTGTTTTTCTTTTTATTTCTACTGTCTCCGCCCCACAAGCTTTCGATATTCGTGAAACAGCCCCTAATCTATTTATCACCGTTCATTTATCATAGTACTAGATAGGCGTGCAACCAATTGAACTCGGATACGTACCTTTAATGTTTCTTTGAAAATATTTATTACAATTAAGTTTGAGTAAATTAACAATTTAGTATATTTATCTTTGTATATAATTACTTAGTCAATATAAAATTAAACTTTATTAAAATAAGGTGATTACAAGCCCCGATTCTCGAGGGGGCACAATATTGATGGTAATTACGTGATGACATTTTGAATTCATATTTTTTCTTTTTAAAATATATTAATAAATAAAATAAAAAACTCTTTTCCTTTTCGCATTTGACTTTAAAAATGTTCTTTCTTGCTCTTGAATTTTCAATTTTATTCCAAGTATGCATTTGTCTTCTTATTATTGCTCCTCGATATTTGTGTAAAGTGTCCGTGTTTAAAATTAATTTATATTCATCCTCAGTCAAATTTAGAGGTTTTAGTTCTTTTTTATAGCTGCATTAGCAATTTTTGTGCTCAATCTTAATTTAAAAAATGAATTGATTTTCTGTTTGCTTTAGAAATTAGTCAAATTGACCTTAAAATAAAATGTATAAATCAAATATATGAAATTAATAAATTAATAAGTTGATCCTTGTCAAATTTTTAGTCTCATTTTACGTCATTTTATGGAGTATAATACAATTTTCGTCATTATAGTTAAGTGTTGGATTTATTTGAAAAATTAATTAGTATGATTATATTTCCAAGTATTTTTAAGTTATTAAGTCTTTATTGAATCTAGGGTATTGTGCAACAATAAATTTTACCAGAAAGAGGTAATTTAATATTGCATAATGACATGATAAAATTAGAAGTAACTAAATGTTCTCTTATTATTTTTATCAGCAAGCAAGTTAATTATAAATTTAATATGATTAAGTAGAACACAAATTTCTTTTTCTATTGAAATATTTACGCCACTTGTGGTTATTTAACAAAAAAAACTTGATTATTTTTTTTTAAAATAATTTATAAACTTTTCCAAAAATTTAGTCACATAATTTACATATAGTGGTAATTCACTATATACTAATTACATAACCAGAAGCTAAAAGATTAATATAGGTGTATGCAATTAGTAAATAGTGACAATTGTAATAATATGAATGGTTGGAAAATGCAAAGTTGAGAGACGGTTTAGGTAGAGAGGGGACGTGGGGTCCACATGGGAGAGTACAAACTACAAAGTAAAGCTATGTGAGAAGTGTGTAGTGACAGACTATGACATAAGCAAAGGTCAATTTAGTAAAGATACTCAAAATTTTAAATAGCAGCTATAGTAATATTCCTCTGTAGCCTACCATAATGTTCCATTTTACCTGAAATGACCAAATTATCCTTAGCAAACTGTGTGCTTTAACTTCCTCTTATTAGATTGTAGAATATTTTAGTTTAATCTACTTTTGCAGCTACATTGAACATATTATTAGGATATTTATTAAATGAACTTTATATGTTCAAAAACTACATCAAAAGTGTTGCAAGTTGCAATCATGTAAAAAACAAAATGAATTTAGCGCCAAGAGTAAAGTGATTTATTTTTATTTTTATGCGGAAATTAAGTATTTCATTTTATTCATATTGACAAAAAGAAAATTACATTTACATATCTCTGTCAAAAATCACTTAAGTAATATTTTATTTTCTTTAACTTTCTACTTATGGCGTTAAAACTATATAAAAAATGTAGTAAGTTGCAATTATGTTAAAATAAAAATGTTTTAGCGTCAAGAGTAAAGTGATTTATTTTTTTTTCTATACGGAAATCAATATTTTGTTTTATTCATGTTGACAAAAAATTTACATTTACGTATCTCAATCAAAAATCACTTAAGTAGTTTTTTACTTTCTTTTTCTTTCTACTTATGGCGTTGATCATTGTTTAAGTTTAGTAATAGCAAACGCATTCATATATGGTAGGCTTTTTTCATTATTTATTTTTGGTGGATATTATCAGGAAGAGAAGATTATGCCACTGGTAGGGGTGTACAAAGAAAACCGATAAACCGCACTAAATCGATAATCCAAGTCAAACCGCAAAAAAAAAAAAACGATTGTGGTTTGGTGTTGAAAAAAAAACCCGACCATAATTAGTTTGATTTAGTTTTAACTAAAAAAAATCAAACGAAACTAAACCAACCCGATATTATATTTATTCAATTTTTAAAAATATTTTATACATATAAATATTTATCGTAATACAATTGTTCACAGTTTTATCTTTAAACGTATTATTTAAAGTTTGGACTTAACATTTTGAATGGTCCAATAAATTTTATAGCTCGTAAAGGGAGTAAGTCAAATAAAGTTCAAAGCAATACTAATACTAATAAAGGAAATTCAATTTAACACTAAGAATGACAATATTGTTGGATATCTATTTTTTTGCATTGGTTTATAATGAAAATACATAACTTAGTTTATTTTTTTCTTTAGTGCTTAATTGTGTAATTAATAGTACTTATTAGCTGTACTTATTGTATCATGACCTATATAATATTTTTAGCTTATGTAAATTTTTATTATGGCGTATTAATTAGTAATATTTTTATGCGATTTTGTTATCTTTGTTATTGAATATTTTAATACATTGCTATGACTCATCTCATATTATTGTGTTATTTTCTTGAAAAATACATTATATAGTTGTATCCTACTAGGACTAAAGAAATATTTGGAGCGCAAGTTATATATTTTGTACTATGAAAACTTTACCAAGAAAAACCCCGAAAAAATCGAGAAAAATCGACATTGCAAAACCCGACTTTATTAGTTTGGTTTGGTTTATAGATTTAAAAACACGATACCATTAATTTGGTATGATAATTAAAAATTCCGAATCAACCCGACCTATTTACAACTCTAGTCACTGGTTTTCCAACTCAGGCTTTTCTAGCAATCTGCGGTACAGTATATTATTTGTATTAAGAATTGTCACAATTATTTGTTATGAGTATAGCTCATTATTTAGTATTCCACCAAACTAGTGGTGTGTGACAGAATTCAAACAGCTCATTGTGACAGTCCCAACTCCCACATAGTTTCCAATAACAAGCCTCTATTTAATATCTTACTGAGAAAGGTGTATATTTCATTTTCTGTTTTAATTGGGAAATGAATAACTACCCAAAATATGCATCGTGTGTATTTGTAAGATATAAATATAAAAACACAAAGTGCAATCTTTATAAAATACGTAGGTTGGAAAGAGTGTAACAGGGGTGAATGCTCGTATAGCTACATATACTCTGGTTTTGGCATCCTTGAGCGACTTTGGGTACAAACTTCATTTCAAATTAAGTTCCCACCGTGCTACAACAAACCAACAACAACAATAATATAACTTTACAAGTCGGATCTGGAAAGGATAGCGTGTATGCAAACCTTATCACTACCTTGTGCAGGTAAAGATGTTGTTTCCGATAGACCATACTCTAAGCTCAAGGAAAGCATAATTACAGTGATATAGCAAACCAGTAATTCAGAAAAGCACCTTAGTCAATATCAGCACTTGGTTCACTCATAATAATCACATACTAATTCTAGGCAGCAGTTAGGACTTAGGAAGCATCTGAAAGCTTTCTGCATATCTAGCCAATAGTAAAAATATTAACAATGTAGTAAAAATCACAAAGGACCACAACATCAGAATTGAGGCTTTATTTGAGTAACGGAAAGGATAAGGGTGTTGATCTAATTGGTGATGGAGAGAGAAAGCCCGTTTGGAAAAAAGGAAAAAAGTAAGATCTGATTCCATCATCAGTCAGTCAGATAGTTAGAGTTAGTAATTTCTTCAACATTTCTAAAAAGAGGAGTTGCTCTTAGAGTTAGGAAGCAAGTGGAATAAACAAGTTCAATATGCTGGATAAGAAGCATAGTATCATTGATCGCAAAAATTTCTACAATAAATTGGGTAATTCACTAGTATAGTTCCCTAGCCATGGTTATGCTATTTGTTGGAATAATCTAGGATGATCTCCCCAATGGTTACAAATAGAAAGAGTCATACAATCTATCCATCCCATAATCAATATGATCCTTGTTTTCTTCTGATTAAAATTGCTCACTGCACATCTGTGACACAGTGAACAGAAGATATCTGAAACCAATAAGAGATTTCTGATCACCTTCTTACAAGAAAAAAAAGGTTTTTTTTT